GACATATATATATATATATATATATATATATGTATGTATGTATGTATGTATTCTCAGTGTTGTGCTGAATTAGCTGAGACCAGCAAGCAACAGGCAATTCTTCACAGCTTTGCTTTCAATAAACCAGGTTGGTAGCTTGAAACTGGCTCTGATGGGAGTATTTACACCAAGGAAATTGACAAAGCTACCAATCTGAGCCATTTTTTTGAGAGCTGTTTCACCAGCACACTGTGAAATGCTGCATGAACATTGATTGCACTGATCTAGATTGAACTGAATTTTGTTGAAAAGTGAGTTAAGCCTACAGGAAAAAAAAAAAATCACAAGAAGAAAGGAAAAAAAAAATCTGCCTTAGGAAAGACAGAATAAGACCTCGGCCTGAGCATGAGTGGCAGGTGAAAACAGAACCCCACTTCTTAGTCCAGTCACTCTCTCCTCCGTGGCTCATCAGTAAAGAATCTGCCTGTCAATGCAGGAAACCTGAGTTCAATCCCTGGATCGAGAAGATCCCCTGGAGAAGGAAATGGCAACTCACTCCAGTATTCTTGCCAGGAAAATCCCATGGACAGAGGAGCCAGGCGGGCTATTGTCCATGGGGTTGCAAACAGTCAAACATGACTTAGCGACTAAACAACAACCATATTCTCCTCAGCATATTTTTCTACCCATCATTTTTTTTGCCACTGTCTCTAAAATTAGTGTGAAAACAGCTGAGTGAAATAGTCAATAACAAGCTTTAATTCCGTCAAGGTCTGAAGACTAGGAGATTATTTCAAAGAATTGTTCTCTCTGTGAAGAAACGTAAGTCCAGGAAAACATAGATTATAAAAAGTTATCTGAGATGAAAAATAATGGAAAAAAAATCAAATATTGCAGAATGAAAAAAATACTGTGATTTTAATAATATAAGAAACCTTGCCATCAAACACTATAAGGAATTTAAGGAAGATATGAATGATAGAGAAAAAGCAAATATGAACACCCATAAATAGTATTAAAACTTGGCCAAGTTAAAACAGAAAAATAAGAACACATCTATCTCTCTGGTAGTCAACAAATTCATCCATTTCTAAGCTCTTTGGCAGAGGTGGTGCCAACACAAAGAGAAGTGGATGAGAAAAGCCCTTTAAGAAATCATCACTTATATGCACCCCAATGTTCATAGCAACACTGTTTATAATACCCAAAACAAGGAAGCAACCCAAGTGCCTGTCAACTGATGAATAAAGAAGATGTGGTGCATATATACAACAGACTGTTACTCAGCCATTAAAAATGAAGGACATAATGCCATTTGTAGCAACATGGATGGACCTAGAAATTATCATATTACGTAAATTAGAGAAAGACAAACATCATAGGATAGCACTTAGTTAAAATATATAATTTTTTTTAATTTTTAAAAAATATACAAATGAACTTCTTTACAAAACAGAAACAGGCAAAAAATAGAAACAAACTCACAGATATAGAAAAGAAACTTACAGTTATCAAAGGGGAAAGGGAGGGGAGGGAATAATTAGGAGTTTGGGATTCAGTTCAGTTCAGTTCAGTTCGGTCACTCAGTCATGTCCGACTCTTTGCGACCCCATGAACCACAGCGCGCCAGGCCTCCCTGTCCATCATCAACTCCCGGATTCCACCCAAACCCATGTCCATCGAGTCGATGATGCCATCCAACCATCTCATCCTCTGTGTCCCCTTCTCCTCCCACCCTCAGTCTTTCCCAGCTTGAGTTTGGGACTAGCAGATACATACTCTTTTATATGAGGCTTCCCAGGTGGTCCGAATGGGAAAGAACCCAACTGCCAATGCAGGAGACATAAGACACATGTACTCATTTATATGCAGAGTACATCATGTGAAGTTCCTTGCTGGATGAATCACAAGCTGGAATCAAGATTGCCAGGAGAAACATCAACCACCTCAGATATGCAGATGATACCACTCTAATGGCAGAAAGTGAAGAGGAACTTAACAGCCTCTTGATGAGGGTGAAAGAGGAGAGTGCAAGCTGGCTTGAAACTCAATACCCATAAAAGATCATGGCATCCAGTCCCATCACTTCATGGCAAATAGAAGGGGAAAAAGTGGAAGCAGTGACAGATTTTCTTTTTGGGGGCTCCAAAATCACTGTGGATGGTGACTGAAGCTATGAAATTGAAAGATGCTTTCTCCTTGACAGGAAGGCTGTGAAAAACCTAGACAGCATATTAAAAAGCAGAAACGTCACTTTGCCAACAGAAGTCCTTATAGTCAAAGCTATGATTTTTCCAGTGGTCATGTACAGATATGAGAGTTGGACCATAAAAAAGGCTGAGTGCCAAATAATTGATTCTTTCAAATTGTGGTGCTGGAAAAGACTCTTGAGAGTCCCTTGGACTGCAGTGAGATCAGATCAGTCAATCCTAAAGGAAATCAACTCTGAATATTCATTGGAAAGACTGATGCTGAAACTGAAACTCTAGTACTTTGGCCACCTGATGCAAAGAACTGACTCATTGGAAGAGTTTGAAAAAAACTCATAGGAAAGTTTAAAATAAAAGGTGGGGGGAGGAGGCGGCAGAGGATGAGATGAGTGGCGACCCACTCCGGTATTCTTGCCTGGAGAATCCCCATGGACAGAGGATCCTGGTGGGCTACAGTGGACTATAGTCCACGGGTTCGCAAAGAATGGGACACGACTGAGTGACCAAGATCACATACACACTAGCATCATCAACTCAGTGGACATGAATTTGAGGAAAATCCAGGAGATAATGGAGGACAAAGGAGCCTGGTGCGCTGTAGTGCATGGGATCACAAAGAGTCAGACATGACTTAGCAACTGAAAAACAACAACAACTACTTCATATAAAATGTTTTAATAGATGGACAACAAGATCCTACTGTATAGCACAGGGAACTATATTCAATATCTTGTAAGAAATTATAAAGGAAAATATATATATAACTGAGTCAATTTGCTGTATACCAGAAGTTAATACAATATTGTAAATCAGCTATATTTCAATAGAAATAAAGTCATCACTTGTATACAAATATATATAACGCATATCCACAGGCTGGCATTCTGGTAATTAAGATTATAAGGACTGCAATTCCAGTCCAGGCTTTTAGAAGACCTCAGAGGGGAGTGTGGGGAGATTCCTGTAAGTGAGATAGTCAGGATTTTCTTACACATGACAGTAAGTTGTTTTGTGGTGCAACCCTAGGAGTGAACTAATGGAAACATTCAGCCTCTATGATCTGTGTGCTAATTCAAGTTCAAATATACTCATGCCATTTTTTTCTTCCAATTGCTTTTCAGGTTCCCATTTGCTTTTATTAGTAGGTAGACTAGTCAAGCGACTTCCCAGGTTTCTCAGCTGATACAGAATCTGCCTACAATGCACGAGACTGCAGTTTGATCCTTGGGTCAGGACGATCCCCTGGAGAAAGGCATGGCGACCCACTCCAGTATTCTTGCCTGGAGAATCCCCATGGACAGAGGATCCTGGTGGGCTACAGTGGACTATAGTCCACGGGTTCGCAAAGAATGGGACACGACTGAGTGACTAAGATCACATACACACTAGTCACAATCTAAATCCTTTCCCTCCATGAACAGTTTAAGAATACTAGGGCTTTCTTGGTTGGAATGGGGTCCTTTCTACCTCTAACTCAGGCAGAAAGTGAAAAACAAAACCTCTGATGGTCCACTTGCCTTGTTGTTTTAACTTCTAGCAAACTGCTTCACTCTATGCAGAGTCCAGTAGATGCTTGTCCATTTGCAGGAGATGTTCTCGATGACCTCATTATCACTCACTCACCAGGCTTCAATATGATGACCCTCTTAATTCACCATGGTGTGTTCAACCACTGTTTCCCAAAGGAGAGCCGCCATGACAGAATGACTGAAGACTGATGAATAGTCAGCCTCATCCACGTATTCTACCATAATCAGCCAGCCACAGATCCTTGAGGCTTTTTGGCCCAGATTCCCACATACCACCAGCTCAGTTCCATCCTCTGGTCCACAGTGTCCTTTCTTCACAGCAGACTTTGGATCAGGCCAATCCTATCGTCCATGACTACTCTTTAAACTTGCATCATGGAGAGAAGGAGCTGGGCCCTTGATTCCTTCCTTTCCGGAAGGCCTTGGAGGCTTTAAGTAAACAATCTCAACCCCTCTCCTTTCAAGGGTCCCTGAGAGGCAAGTCTTCATCAAGCCACTATCAAGTGCATCCTTTATGCACTAACAGGGTCACCTGAGCAACTTCTCTCAATAACAAGTATCTCCTTCCGAGCGACCTGTATCTCTACCTGCATATATGCAGGAGCTGACATTAGTTTTTAAGTTCCACCTCATTAATCATGAGATGAAACAATTTTAAAAACTATGAGAAGACTTAGGAATATCAAACACAACCATCTTATTTTGAGTATGAGAAAAATAAACCCAGGGATTCTCTCTGATTAACAAAAACTCTGCCTCATGTCTGTGCTCAAGGCATTGGTTTTGTGACCCTATGTTGGCACTCAGATTATGCACAGCCAAAAAATTCAAAAAACTATTTTGTTCAGATTGGGGGTTGACAGTGGATGTGCGTGTTTGCTTAGTCACTCTGTCATATCCAACTCTTTGCGACTTCAAAGACCTTAGCCTGTCAGGCTCCTCTGTCCCTGGGATTCTCCAGGCAAGAATACTGGAGCAAGTTGCCATTTCCTTCTCCAGGGTATCTTTCCAACCTGGGGATTGAACCCATATCTCCTGTGTCTCCTGCATTGCAGGCAGATTCTTTACCCACTGAGCAATTAACCCAAGTATGGGAGGACAGATAGCCAAGACAAAATAAACCTTTTCAGAGTAAGGAGTCCACCAGTCTTCTTGATCAAATTTGTGACTTTTGCCCACTTCCCCAGTGGGAAGTATTTCTTCCAATTTGTATTCTCGGTAGCTTGAAAAGTATGGTAGGGAAAGCAAGATAAAAAACAAAATTTTTTGGTGACTTAGTTTCCATAATTGCCGTCATAAACTACATATTACTTTTGCTAAGGAGATACATGAAGTTCGTACCAAAGGACAAAAGGAAACTAATTGCACTGACGATGAATTGTCACAGGGTTTGGAGAACCATCTGCTTTTTAAGTTGTTGTGATCAGTTCTCTACAGGAACAAAGACCTATTAATCTTCTAAAAACACCCGATCATTTATCCATTCAGCAGAGAACAAAGAAAACAGAAGTACAAGATTCGTCCCCCTCTTCCACTTTGCAGCACATAGAATGAGGGACCATTTTCCTGCCGTATTTACCCAGAACAGGGACCACTCCCCTTGCTATCCCAGGAGACACAAGCCCAAGTCCAGAATCTGAAGATTCTACATTGAAAATGCTCAAATAGGACATAACTGTTCTAAGTTAACAACTAATTTCCAGTCAGTGAGTAATTTTTTTTCCCTGAAACATCCACTCAGCGGAAAACAAATGAAGAGGGGAAAAAATTAAGTAAACAAATCTGAAAACGAGGCCACGACACACGAGAGATGGAGGCGCCTCTATACTTAACAGCGGAGAGAAGACAGCGCTCCCAGGTTTATCTTAAACAAAAGAGTGGTTTCAACTGACGCTGACGGAGCCTCACCCGATGAATGACTTCCAGTGCCTCTGGCTCTTTGGGACCAAAGGAGAGAATTATTTTTAGCACAACTATTTGGAAATCTCTGAGAACTTGGATCTGTTTTTCTGTCTGGTACCAAAGCAAGATTTTCTCTGAGCTCTCATGAAAGATCTTCAGTCTATTGTGGATTTAGAATTCTGGAGCAACCCCCATCCCAGAGCAAGGTATGGTGTTTACTCTTTTTTCAGCATGTTGGTAGATGGCAGCTGCAACATCCTGTTTCATTATGGTAGCTTTTACATTTATGAAGCAAATAGCTCTGGAAGAAGAATCCATGAAACTGAAGACCTGGGTTCAAATGCCTGGTGTAGCGCTAGCTTTGTGACTGCAGACAAGTCGCCTGACTTCTCTGCACATGGGTTCCCTGTCTGACCTACCAGGAGAGGGTCTTTGGGAAGACAGGGCTTCACGTGTCAAACAGACAACAAACTGACAAATGTCAGCACTGATTGTCGCTGTACCATCGTTGCCTTTTATGTAAAGCAGCCAGAGCTTTATAAATCAGAAGCTGTTGATAAGAATAAGTATCGATTAACTCTTTTCCTTCACTCAACCTGTGCTGAGCCTCTGCGGTAGATCGGTCTTTGTCCTAAGTGTCAGTGATGGAGTTTACCTTCTGGTGCAGGAAAAGCAAGAGTCAGCCATCACACCACGTGGCTGCTCCGCCATGGAGGGTGGAGTAGGGACCAGAGAGGGAGGGGCCTCATGGTCAACAGAAGAAGGCGGTCTGAGAAGGAAAACCCGGGCCCCCCAAGGCAGAGCTGAGGAAGCACAGACAGAAGGCTCTGGGGTGCGAGCACCTCAGTTCTCGTCCTGTCCTGCTCACAGCCCCGGGGAGGACACAGCCCACTGTTGTGAAATCCTTTCCCCTGTAAGCCAAGGATGTATCTCGCTTTGGCAGCCATGCTTACCTATCCTTCTAATGACTTCCAGGCAAAACACACTTTCAGACTGAATTAGTAATCGAGCCCTTTGCCATGAAGTCATGCTACAGTTTCTCTCACATGATGTCGGGAAAAAACCCAAGTGTTGTGAGTCAAGAGCTCGGTTCAAATCCTGCCTATCTGGGCTGTTTTTAGGGCCGTGTTCACTTGAGCCCTCAGGCTCTGCTTGTTGTCGCAAATGGCAGAGTTTCCTTTTTGTGGCTGAATAATATTCCACTGTATATTTTATATATTTCCTTTACTCATTCATATATTTCCCTTATCCGTTCATCTGTCAAAGGAAACTTAGGTGGCTTCCATGTACTAGTGTGAATGATACTGCTATGAACGTTGGGGTGGATATACTTTTTGAATTAGATTTTTTTGTAGGAATTCAGATATCTCTTCAAGTTAATGATTTTCATTTCCTTCAGATATATACCCCAAAAGTGGGACTGCTGAGTCATATGGTAGTTCTAATTTTAATTTCTTGAGGATTCTCCATACTGTTTCTTCTAATGCTATACAAGTTCATATTCTCATCAAGGGTGTACCGTATTCTTTTTCTCCACATTCTCACCAACACTTGTTTTCTCTTTTTGATGACAATCATTCCCATATGTGTGATAGCTCGATGTGTTTCTGATCTGCATTTTCCTGATGATTGGTGATGTTGAGCATCTTTCATGCACCCACTGTCCACTCATATGTCTTCTTTGGGAAAAGACTGCCTATTCAGATTGTTTGCCCATTTCTAATTTGATTATTTGGGTTTTACTATTGAGTTATATGAGCTCATTGTGTATTTTGGATATTAACCCTTTATCAGATACATGATTGACAAGTATTTTCTTTCCCATATTTGCCTTTTCATTCTGTTTATCATTTCTTTTGCTGTGCAGAAACTTTTTAATTTGATGTAGTCCCATTTGTTTATTTTGGCTGTTGTTGCTTATGCTTTTGGTGTTATATCCCCAAAACTGTTGCCAAGACCAGTGTTACTGTGCTTTTTCCCTATCTGTTCTTCCAGAGGTTTTATGATTTTTCAGCCTCACATTTAAGTCTTTAACCCATTTTGAGTTTTTTTCTGAGTGGTGTGAGACGGGATTCCAGTTTCATTGTTTTTTTCTTTTGTGTGTGTGTGTGTGAATATCTAGTTTTTCCAACACCATTTATTTATTGAAGAGACTATATTTTGCCTTGTATTATTGGCTCCTTTGTCAAGTATTAGATGACCATGTGTGCATGCGTTTATTTTATTTCACAATAAAGGAAAACCATATAATTTACAGAAAGATCTCAAACTGTGGACAGATGTTCTAAAAGTTGAACCTTTGCATTAATCTATCCAGTGTTTTTCCAAGTGTTTTACATAGCTAATTTAACAAAAACAAAGGGTTCTATGACCAAGATTTGTAAAACACTGTATACTATATTCCTACATTACAGATTCAAAATGCACATTAACATGAAGGTTTTGAAATCTACAGTACCACAGAGTAATTTAAAAAATATGTATTCAAAAGAATTAAAGTTCTGTTACTTTGTAATCCTTACAGAAAAACTGCATAGAGAGTCATTTACAATTAATATCCAGGACAGATCTGTTCAAATTAGCAATAGTTCCAGACTTTTAATTTTATAACTCCAAAGGAACACAATAGTGGGGGAAAATGCATTTTAACACAAATTCTACATAAATTTACATAATTCAATGCAATCTTTCAGGGTATTTTGTATGAGGAGTGAGTGCTATGTGTATAAGATTTCCTTTTATAATTTTGAAACTGTTCTAAAGTTAGATTGTGGTGTACACTGAGTTGTATATTTTAAATTGGTCAGTTTTATGATGTTCACATTAAACCTCAAAAAGCTTTTAAAATGTTGTAATGTGTATAGACTCATGACTCACATAGTTTATTCTCATCCAAAATAACCAGATTTATTGCAAACCAATGGGTAAAGGATGGATCTTTTAATACAAAGTGTTGAAAATATAATGGTGCATCCCTACCTCACACTTCTTACCAGAAAAATTTCCAGTAACTCAAATTTTAAACATGAAAAATGAAACAAAGAAAAGGAAATGGCAGCCGACTCGTGTCCTCGCCTGGGAAATTCTGGTGGGAGCCTGGTGGGCTACAGTGCATGAGGTTGCAAAGACTTGGACACAACTGAGCAGCTAAAATTTTTAAATATATAAATGAAACAAAAAGCTAAAACAAAAGTAGAATTATTCTTGTTATCTTGAAATGGGAACGACCTTCTAAGCACAAGAAATTGAACCTCAAAAAAATACTTTCACAATAAAAAGATTTTAAAAAATACACAAACAAAGTGAAAAAACAAACTAGGAAGTGCCATTGCTGCTCATGTCATAAACCACATGCAAAGAATATATATATATATATATATACACCCATTGCACTATTGTTTGGAATAGCACAAGGATAAAAATATCCCAAATATTCATCAATAGGTGACCTGTTAAATATAATACACCTTTATGATGGATATTCTATAACCATTAAAAAAAGAATGAGGCAGCTTTATCTATATACTAATATGAAAAGATGTCCAAGCTAAGTGAAAAAACAAGGTGCAAGAATTTGCATACAGTGCTTTTTATAAGGGGAAGGACACAGAAGTCACAAGCAACAGGAGTTGCCCCTAGAGAGGGAACCTGGATGTCTAGGAGACAGTGGGGAAGGGGAAGAGATTTCCTTTTTATTGCACATCTCTTTTTTAAAATTTAATGTATGTGCATGTTTTAGCTATACAAAAAACAAACATTTTAAAAACTCTAAACTATACACACTTAAAACAGCTTAAGTCCTTTATCTGTGTTTCTCAAACACTGCGAAAGGAACCCATAGACTCCAGGAATATTTCTTTAAGTCCTCTCTTTCCTCTTCCTTTTGTAATATTCTCATATTCTATAATTCCTCTCTAGTCCTTTTTCCCCCAAAAAATCACACCTCCCTCCCAAAACAATCTCCTCTGCCCAACCTGATTTTTTTTATGCCAAGCACTATTCTAGACATCAGTGGCTAAGGCAAAGATCCTTGCTCTCATGAAGCTTGCATTCTATCAGAAAGAGATATTAAAAATATTTTGATACATAAAAATAAAAATTTTAATAAAGTATTTCATATTATAATCCATTGCTAATAATAAATAAGAGTATTTAAATAAGAATAATCTAATAAATTAGAGGATGATGTGAGCAATGGACAAGAGAAATATTAGAGCAGCATGAGGCAGGGCAGGGACCAGGAGATGGTTTGTGATGTTAGTTAAGGAGATAGAGTTGTCTTTAATGAAAGGGAAGCATCTGAGCAAAGACAGAAGCAGACGAGGAGATGAGACGTGTAGGCATCCTAGAGAAGAGAGATCCAAAGAGAGGAAAGAGATAGTGTGAAGGTCCTATGGCAGAGCATACCTAGTGTCTTCAAGAGACATCAAGCAATACAGTTTGTGGTTGAAGCTGGGGAAGTGGGAAGGAGAGTAGAAGATAAGGTCTGGGAGGTGAGGGAAGTGCACAAGGTAAGACCTTGTAGATCATGTACCATGAGGCTTTTGACTTTTAAATGAAGGACAATTACAAGGTGATCCCACAGTGTGGGTGGGTGTGTGAGTCACTCAGTGGTGTCTGACTCTTTGCAACCATAGCCTGCCAGGTTCCTTTGTCTCTGGAATTCTCCAGGCAAGAACACTGGAGTGAGTAGTAAGTCCCTTCTTCAGGGGGATCTTCCTGACCTAGGGATTGAAGCCAGGTCTGCTGCATTGCAGGTAAATTCTTCACCATCTGACCCACCAGGGAAGCCCCTGTAGTTTTCTATCTTAACTCACATTCCCTTGTTATCCTGATGACTCGAGTCCCAAGCCTTGACTAGTCACTCATCATCGTGTTATCATTCATCAGGTACCACAACACCTCATCCCTCAATTCTGATGAGGAATTTTAATGGATAACCATTCTGAGGGCCTTTCAAACTCTTCTAACTGGGAATGCTTAGACATTTAGACTATTGCGCAAGCAGTTTTCCAGTGCATTTGCCAATGAGTGGCCATCATTTATTCAATGGTTACATCAGTTTTCATTTTAATTTATCCTTCCTTTGAGCACCATGGTCTGGCTTGTTGTTTTTGCTGTTGTTTAGTCACTCTGTCGTGTCTGACTCTTTGTGACCCCCACAGACTGTAGCCCCCCAGTCTCCTCTGTCCATGGGATTTTTCAAGCAAGAATACTGGATAGAGTTGCCATTATCTTCTCCAGAGGTCCTTCCTGACCCAGGGATCAAACTCGCATCTCTTGGGTCTCCTGCACTGGCAAGAGGATTCTTCACCATTGAGGAAATGTTAATATCCTTTCTTCTGAGCACATCTTTAAAATTTCTACACCCTCTATCCATCATAACCTCAACTTTGACCACATGCTCCTCCATAGACTGATCCCCAATGATTGGCGTGTGTGTTTCAGCATCTCCACCAGTGTCTGAGATGCCGTTGCCCAAAGCATCCTCCCTCCAGATCATTTCAGATCCCTCCTAGGACCAGCTCCTGGGCTCAGCTACAACAATCCATTCCTGGTCTGATTAAAAGCTTCCTTATAAGTACCTGTTCTTCTCTTTCAAATCCCTTCTCAAAGCTTCCTCTAATCAGTTTTCTACGAAGGGAAAGAAAGTAGCAATTTAATAACCATGTCTTGTTTTAACTGACAAGGATTTGGATGAAAAGATTCTTTCCATTTTCTCTCATCTGAGGCACTTTTGGAAAGACTGATATGTTTATCTGATCTGTTGGGGTTTTCAGAAAGTGCCTTCATTCCAGTAAAGTAATAGGATAAATAATTCTGAGTTTGTGCTCTGAACAGAGAATAGCAAAAATGTTCGCTTTCATTATTTTAGAGTTTCTTTTTATGAAGGGCAGGGGCACTGGGAACATGGAGATTTGGTCAAGGATTTAGAGCCTATATTTGGATAAGCTGCTTCAGTTTTTCACTAAATACGATTTCTAGGAATCAGACTTATTTCGAACCACATGTATACTCTGTTTTTCTCAGTTTGTCATTCCTAGGCTCTGGCAAATTTCTGGATCTGATTCCAAGATGTTGCAATTTCCCCAAGTGGTACAGCGTGCTGGTTAATTTTCTGATGTGGTTGTCAAAAAATAAAGAAACTCTATCCAATTGCTTTTCTCACAAGTTATAATTATTTCCTTTGGACAAGGACATTCCAGGCATAGACATCAAGCATTGTACAGATCTCTTATTAAAGCACAGGTCCAACCACACAAAAACAACTCATTTACACCATTCCAAAACCACATGTATACTTCCCCCACCCAAGAGGCTGACAGCCCTAAGCCTAGAAAATCAACTGTCCCCAGCCTAACTACCCACCACTTCATCTATATGCCAAATGTGATGCTAATAGATGATCCATCATTGTCAGCATCCAAGCTCTGTGGAGAAAAAAAAAATCCTATTAGATCAGAGCTGATGAGACCTGTTGCCTATTTCACTCAGGGCACATGGCAACTTGCATGGTTTAATTTCACTCAACTATTTAATTGAGCCCCAAGACTAACATCTTAATGGGACACTACAGTATTCCATCCTACAGATTTTAAATTAAAGTTTGAGACACCTCCCACTCAGGGCATGCAAAGAACTCTAATTAACACTAATTGGCATTACATATGATTAGCAAGTGGAAAACATGATTTTCCTGAAAATGTCACTTCCCTTCGCTTACTTTAAAAAGTCTATAAATTCTAAGAAAACAACCATGGATGCATACAAAGATTAGACATAAAGACGTCTATCTAGCATGGTGTTTATCCTGAAAAAAAAAAACAAAAAACTGGAAACAAAGATCTATAAGGGGAAATGGTGTACATAAAGGACCATAGAGACAAATGCAAAAATGTTTTTAATGTTATGAAAATTTTTGACATGGGGAGATATTCCTTACATATTGTTCAGTGAGAAAAAAGTTAAAGAGTTGCAGGAATGTCATAGTATCACTTTTCTTCATAGTACAGAAAAAAAAAAAAAAAGACCGAAGAACATATACATGGAAGTATAAACAGCAATTATCTCTGGATGGTGAGAATAATGTTGATATTTATCTTATTTATTTGCATTTCTTTTTCTTTTTTAAAATGCATGTTGTTGTTCAGTCACTCAGTCATGTCTAACTCTATTGCACCACCATGGACTGTGACCCGCCAGGCTCCTCGGTCCAGGGGATTTCCCAGGCGAGAAGACCGAAGTGGGTTGCTATTTCCTTCTCCAGGGGGCCTTTCCAACATAGGGATCATAGGGATTGAACCCAAGTCTCCTGCTTGGCAGGGAAACTCTTTACCGTAGAACCACCAGGGAAGCCAAAAACATGCATACTTTCACAAAAAGATAACATTATTTTTCAAAGTCCATCATTAATTCCTGCAGGGAAAAAAAATGCAACAAAGTGATTTATTTTGGAATTTTAAAAATCAGTGCTTCATCTCCACCAAATGAGAACTATCAGTAATGTGCTAATTCAGACAATGTTTTCTGAGTCACCAGGAATTTTACAAAAGCATTCCACCAAAGTAATTTTGTTCAATAAATACATTTTTCTTCCTTCTGATTTAAGATAATATTGTGCTTTTACAATAAAGCTTATTAATAAAAGAGTGATATGTACCATATGTAAAATAGATAGCCAAGGGGAATTTGCTATATGACACAGAGAACTTAAACTAGGGTCTGTAACAATCTACAGGGATGGGATGGGGAAGGAGGTGGGAGGGAGGTTCAAGAAGGAAGGAACACAGGTATCCCTTTGGCTGATTCACGTTGATGTTTGGCAGAAACTAACACAATAAAGTAAAGCAATTATCCTTCAATTAAAGATAAATAAATTTAATTATAATGAAGAATAATGTGCTACTAACCTCAAGTGGAATTATGAGGGCCAACACGGCATTAGACATCCGTGGCGAGGTGGTCCCTGGGGTGAATTGTTGAAAATGCCCACTCTCCTGTTCGTTTATCCTGAAACCCCCACCTCAGAGGGTGCATTGATGTCCATGTGTTTCTCTTTCAGAGCCAAAGATGTTTGTCTTGCTCTATGTTACAAGTTTTGCCATTTGCGCCAGTGGACAACCGCGGGGTCATCAGTTCAAAGGAGAGAGCTACTCCCCAAGGTATATCTGTAGCATTCCTGGCCTGCCCGGGCCTCCAGGCCCCCCCGGAGCGAACGGTTCCCCCGGGCCCCACGGTCGGATCGGCCTTCCAGGACGGGACGGTAGAGACGGCAGGAAAGGAGAGAAAGGTGACAAGGGGGCTGCAGGTAATGAATGAAGCTCCGTAAGCACCCTCGGCCACCCCCACCTTAGGGCGAGCCCCTTGCTTTGCTGCCTTTTCGAAGGAGAAGCGCCCTTTCAGTCCCGTCCCGACCTCACCTCCATGAGTCAGAACCATTTAGTGGGTCCTTGTTATGGTGCAGCCGCTGCTCTAAACCCTCTAACTGCAATCTCACTGCATTCCTAACCTCAGCTCTGCCAAGGGGACGTGGTCCTGTTTACAGGTGAGAGCACAGAGTGGTAGGTGAGTCAGTAGCTTAAGGGAGATGGAAGGGCAGGCTCATGCCTGGCAGAGCCTCATCACTGGAACATCTGATACCCACGCCCTCTGGGCTGGTACAGTGGCTGCCTGTGAGAGGGGGCGTGGATGGATAGACAGACAGATGGGTGGGGAGGAGACGGACAGATGGAGCAGGGGGCAGGAATTAGGAGCCAGAAGCACAGGGGCCATCCTCTCTGCACTCACATCCTCAAAAAGACACAAAAGGCTTCTAGATTTTTCTTCTTAAACAGGTGAAATGACAGTAGTTCTGTATAACCTTTGTTGATCTTTCTTAGTTCAACACTCTCCCACATGTCCTATAGCAGCTAAAAATCTAGATTTCTTACAACTCTATACAGCAAGACAGTTGTCCCCTACTCTTTCAATAATTGTCACTTTTCCCCCCACAAATAAGTTGGCTTATGAAGCTTGCTGGATTCTGCAATGCTTCAAAGTAAACCAAATTAAAATTCTAGTGAGGCTGTGTTAATGATAAAAGAGGAAGTTTTGGATGGAATCAATCTTTGAAAACAAGTTTCCAAGTGTAAAATGTGGGACAAAGATAGGAAGAAAAAAATCAATAGATCTAAGAAATGTGTCTCTCATCACTGCATGTGATTTACTGATGTTATGGGAAACAATATCATAATATATATATTCAAGTGATTAGATAATAATTCATTGCTGAATTTCTTATGCAGAAAACATTTGGCAAATCAGCAGCTACCGAATCTGTGGCCCTTAATCAACATTAGATAAAGTCTCTTTAGGTGAAGTTTCAACATCAGATCAACTTTCATTCGGAGCTCTCATCTCATCTTTCAATGCCTTCTATTTGGTAACACATGTGAACACACTACTGTGTCATGATCATGAATATGTCTGAAATTCTATAATAACACTATGATCATAGTTAGATATTACTGGCTTTTTTAGTTTACTGTGTCTGGAAGTAATAATACAGTGGTCACACAAAAATGCATTAGAGTCAGAAAGATATGATTCCTTCAGTTACTAACTTGGCATCCTTGCGGGGGAAAAAGGCATTTGAATCTCAGTTTCCTCTTGGTAAATTGGAGTTAGTAAGTGTGATTTTGAAGATTAAAAAATAATAATACATATAAAATGCTCAAGAATAAGTGCCATGTGATAAGCATTCTGTAAATGTTTGCTGTTATCATCTATTACATTGTGATCTGTGAATATTAGTCATAGCTACATTTGTGAATATCCAAAGACATATAATAAACTAGAAATGGCCTGTTTCATGAGGTAATTGTGGTGCTATTTAAAGATATGGATATGGATATGTATTCAGAGTAAATTGAATGTTAGTAATTGACCCTGGTGCTGAAATTGAATGTTAGTATTTAGATCCTGGGGACATCCCAGGTGGCATAGTGCTAAAGAATCTGCCTGCAGTGCAGGAGATGCAAGAGGTATGAGTTCCATGCCTGGATCGGGAAGATCCCCTGAAGTAAGAAGTGCCAACCTACTCCAGTAGCCTTGCCTGGAAAATTCCATGGACAGAAAAGCTTGGCAGGTTACAGTCCAGAGGGTTGCAAAGAGTTGGGCATGACTGAGTGACTGAGGAGACCGTGATGCTGGGAAAGATTGAAGGCATAAGGCGAAGAAGGGAGCAGAGGATGAGGTGGTCAGATGACATCACCGACTCAGTGAACATGGTTTTGAGCAAACTCTGGAAGAGAGTGGACAGGGGAGTCTGGTGCGCTGCAGTCCGTGGGGTCCCAAAGAGTCAAACATGACTTAGCAACTGAATAACAACAATTGCTGCAATTTTAACCATATATGAGATCAGGTAACCCCCATATTCATCAGTCCATTCACTCGTCCATCTATTCATGCATTTTTCATTCAACAAACTTTTAGTACACCTCTTGCTCTCCAATACCATTCTAAACCAAGGTTCCTCAACCTCCACACTAATAATATTTGGATCCAAATAACTGTTTCCATGGGATAGTTATCTCATGCATTGAATGACATTTAGACACATTTCACTTGATGCCAGGGCATCCCCCACCAGTTGTGACAACCAAAAATGTCTCCTGGCATTGCCAGTTTTCCCTTGGTGCTGAATTGCAACTGGTTGAGAACCCTGTTATAGGGAATGGGAACATGAACACAACATTCCAGCCATCTTGATAAGCAAACACTGGGTGGGGGAGGCCAGTATGGAAGCACATGATTATCATATGTCATCATCATCATCATCACTGTTAAGAATTTACTATACCAGTGATTTTTACATTAAGTACTTAATTTCAACTGTAACCTTATTAGCAAAAATCATAATCAATAATAATCAAAAGACAGAATTGATATTCAAAAGTAAAAAGACTTCCCCAATTTTATTTAAATCCAATGTATACATACACATAGGTAAGGATACACACCAACTAAGAAAAGCAAGAATGTCTGTGTGGTCAGTGAAGGCACATCTCGTTTACAAACAATAAGAACAGAGCCCTGGAGCTCTGAGGATTAGCTTTTAATGTGTCTGGAACTGGACACAACTAGGTTGGGAGCTTCTGCTTTCTGTTTCCCCTTTAATACTGTGTATGTCTTCTCATTTATCCCCACCGCATCCACCTCAACCCCCTGGCAAGGTCAAGTATATGCTTTGTCCAACTTCCCTACTCTAAATTACAGAGTTTGAATTATTAACTTTCCATAAAAATATGTCTCCCTCGCCGTGAACTGAAAGTGTTAGTCCCTCAGTCATGTCCGATTCTTGGTGACCCCATGGACTATCGCCCAGCAGACTCTTCTGCCCATGAAATTCTCCAAGCAGGAATACTGGAGTGGGTAGCCATTTCCTTCTCCAGGGGGGACCTTCCTGACAAAGGACAGGTCTCCTGCATTGTAGGCAGATTATCGGCTCTCTGAGTCACCAGGAAAGCCCATCTCCCTCACTGATGTATAGCAATTATTGTGGTAGCATTTTTTTTTAATTAATATAATGTGAAATCACATCCCCCGGAGGAAAAAATGGCAACATACTCCGGTATTCTTGCCTGCAAAGTTCCAAGGGCAGAGGAAACACTAGACCCACCTTGTGAAGAGATCATTCTATTTTATTATATGGCTTTGGATGCTTATGAACTTAGTTATAACCCATATTTGCAGATCACAATGTAACATGCCATAACAGCTAACTTGGGGATAAGACAGCTGTCATTCACGTCAAGGGCACTCAGCCCCAGCACAGCACTTAGCATGTAGTGGATGATCAATCAATATTACATGGTTTAGATGCATATATACATGTGCACATACATGTATGATGAGTGCATGGGTGGATGTATGGATGGATCGAAAAAAAAGAAATAGCACTAAAGAAAAAAATCCTTATAAGCTCATTTATAGAGAACCAAGAAGAATTCCATTCTCTCCAAGTTTCAGTTTCTAGACATAGACTAACACTCCATAATTCTCCTCTCTACCCAGCATATGTCTGACTGAATAGGGAGGGGAGAGTGATTTATCCCTTCATTCCATTCTTCATTAATTGGCCCTTATCACAGGGCAAATCCTTCAAGCACACAGGAAGAATTACTATAAATTATTGCAGTTAGTCCCTGGTTATCTAACTCCCAGCAGTTCAAAATATTCAATAGCTACAGAGATCCAAGTGTTGAGATTATAAAGACCTTTTCATGGCATTGTAAAACTGCATCTTAGTATTTATGGTCTGGTCTCTAAGAATTTTCAAGAGAATAAGACCTCAAGCAATCTAGTCCAAAACCTGCATTTCAAGGACTGAGACACTAAAGTTGAAGAGATAAAGTCCCTTCTTCACACTCACCCAACTAATCCACAGCTGAACCAGAGCTTATCGGGTCTGCTGAGTCACTGTTTACGACTTTCCCCCTACCGCCGGGTTTAGAGTGGATTTAGATCCAATATTTTCATAGTACAAATGTGGCATGTGAAATTCAGACAAGAGTTGACTTGCCCAAAGTTATAGGGCCAGAGGAATTTTAGTACATAATGAAATTTAATGGTAGAAATTGCCTCTGATGCCAAAATGTTTTTTTATTGATACATCAAAGTCATGTATAAAGACAGTTCCAATTGAAAATAAAATAGCAGTGTGTAAGTTGCAGTCCTTGATTCAAAAGTTAATTTCACAGTAAAATAGTATCATATTCCATTTCTACCAAATGGAAACAAACATTGAAAGATCAGACTATCACGGCCTTATTTCAAGAAATAAATACTAGCTTGTTCTGGCTGGGGGCTAGTGAAATTGTTACCAAGTCCAAGCTTGCTCTGCTTACCCTACAACAGGCCAAGGAATCAGAGACGAGGTGTTGAGGCAAGAAATACGACTTTATTTGGAGGCCAGCTGATTGAGGAGATGTTAGACTAATGTCTCAAAATAACTATTTATGGGGTCTGGATTTCAGGTTCGTTTATAGATCAGAGATGAGGGAAGGTGAGGAAACAAAGTAAAAAGGCCATTAATCTTGCAAATATCTCCTGGAATGGCAAGCCTCAGGCAGGGGATGTGTTAATTTCTTTCTTCCTGCCATCTACAGATGGACAGGGTGCTAAACAAGGCACTTTAACGTTCAGGCAGAGGGGCAGGCTTCTCTGAGATGGGCCATTATGTATGATTATAATAATAAAAGTAATAAAAAACAAGTCAGAGAAACAGTTCCAACATGGAGTCAGAACTGGCTTTTCCCTGCAACGGAATTTAAACTTAACTGCAAAGTTCATCTAGAGCCAGAGAACAGCACTATGATCAGTAACAATGCTGACTGTGCTATTGTTGCTGTTATCAAGTCACTAAGTCGTGTCCAACTCTTTGCAATCCCATGTTGCCAAAAAAGGGTTGCATTCATTATTAGCATTTTTTCCATGCATCATAAAGTACTAAACAACTTCTTTGTCAAATCATTGAGACAAAACACTTGATGTTTTAAGGGTATAGCTTTAATTCTCCTGAAACTTGTATTATCCTGAACACTTCATTGCTAAATTTGCCAAACAACTGAAAAAATAATCAAAACTCATAAATTGATGTATGTGTAATAGCCAAATAAGTGACATCAAAGTACTATCAAGATAAAAGACTTAGCTTAATAAAATCCTGAGAACAGATAAAATTACACAGTATAACAACAATATACTTTCTCTGACTATGAAAGTGTACTACAAATTACCAATAATTTGGATACTTTTCAAGAAGCTATTTATGAAATGGATTTGGCCATAACACTGAATGACATTTTTTATACTTTTAGGTCATTGTTGTTTTTCACAGCCCTTATGTCTTTCCTACATATATGGAGACCCAGAGAAATTAAAGGACTTGCCTAAAATAGTACATCCACTTAGCTGTAGAGTCAAAAAAAAAGGTTTTTTCTTTTAATTTCAGCCCCAAAGGTAAAAGGCATTTTGATTTAGGGAGAACATCATTAAGCTCGACATCCAGTCCTAGTCTTGCTACTGAAGCAAGTTTCTTCCCCTGTCTGGGACTCAGCTTTCTCCTCCAAAAAGAACTCCCCCACAGTGGTGGCAGTCGCAGTTGTTTGGTTATCATGACATATTGAAGAGCCCTTTCTGGGGTACACTTCACAATTTACACATCTCTCAAGAGATGTTCAGGTGCCAGAGTCAGGCGGGCTGGAGTTCAGATCACCTCTCCATCCTTCACTAACTCTGTTCCTTCGAACAAACTAACTTCTCCATCGCTCAGTTTTTTCACCCACAGTAGAAGCAATAATTCCTAGCTAACAAAGTTGTTGCAAGTCTTAAAGCAGAAGACGCATGCACATAAGGCATTGCAGCTGGGACATTGTAAATGTTTAATAAATATGAGCTAATCTAACTTGAATTAACTTTTTGTTAATAATACTGATAAAAGCTGAATGGGGCATGCAACTAAGTAGCTTCTAGGATTCATCTTGTCCTGCCTACCCCCATGACCCCACTCTAGGGAATAATATCATCATGCTCTTGAATTCCTCCAGTAATGATGAGTGTCTGTGTGTGTCTAATTTAGCAGTAGGTGATTCATCATCACAATGATGGTTAATTTTTTTTAAATTAGTCAAGTTTTAGATGATTTCTCATATATTCAGGAAAATTTTCTTGATATTTTGATGAAATTTTTTCTGTCTTCCTTGCAGGACATCAGTGATTTAAAAAATATATATATATGAATTATTCAGTAGTATCCTGTTGAAAGCTGAGAAGGCAAACTTAGGGTATGTGGGCATGTTGTTTGTGACTCTATATTTACAGGAACTATTAACTAAACTTTAAACTCTTTTTGAAGGTTTGAGAGGTAAGACTGGACCCCTGGGCCTTGCTGGAGAGAAGGGGGACCAAGGAGAGACTGGGAAAAAGGGACCAATGGGGCCTGAGGGGGAGAAAGGAGAAGTAGGTCCTCCTGGGCCTCCTGGACCAAAGGGAGACAGAGGAGAGCAAGGCGACCCGGGGCTGCCTGGAGTGTGTAGATGTGGAAGCATCGTGCTCAAATCTGCCTTTTCTGTTGGCATCACAACCAGCTACCCAGAAGAAAGGCTGCCGATCATATTCAACAAGGTCCTCTTCAACGAGGGGGAGCACTACAACCCAGCAACGGGCAAGTTCATCTGTGCCTTCCCAGGGGTCTACTATTTTTCTTACGATATCACATTGGCAAATAAGCACCTGGCCATCGGGCTGGTACACAATGGGCAGTATCGGATAAAGACCTTTGATGCCAACACAGGAAACCATGACGTGGCTTCAGGGTCCACAGTCATCTATCTGCAGCCAGAAGATGAAGTCTGGCTGGAGATATTCTTCACTGACCAGAATGGGCTCTTCTCAGACCCAGGTTGGGCTGACAGCTTGTTCTCTGGGTTTCTCCTGTATGTTGACACAGATTATCTAGACTCCATATCAGAAGACGATGAACTCTGATGAGGACTGCTGGCCTGAATGTCCCAAGATCCTTATGGCAGACACTTTGATTTAATCTGGGGCCCTGGAAGTTGGAAGGAGTGGAAATGAGATCCAAAAAGACTCCCACTCAGATTCCAGAGCATTTACAGACAGTTCTAGCAGAATCTGTTAAAACAAATTGAACCACCAAACCATTGAAACCACACCAAAATGAATTATATAAAACAAAAACCCCAGATATGTTCTCTCAAAAGTGATGTTCATAAATATTTAAACAAATTAAAGACAATGTTACAAATTTTCTATTAAATTCCTGAGTGCTAAAACCAGCTGGCAATGATATTGTCTCATTAAATCTCCATAAAATTTCCTTTTTTGCCTGTTATTTGAGAAAATCAAAACATCCCAAAGTCCTTGACAAGTCTCAAAAGACTGTAATAAGTAAAAACACAAAGGTGAGAGATGCCAAGTAATTTCAAACAAAATAAAGTGATTATTTTGCTGTATTATTTTTTCCTTCATTCTTCTATATATTCACTCAACAATTCTTTAATGAGACTGTAGGATCCAGACACTATACTGCTGGGTCAGATTTAATAATGAGTTAAGATAAAATTCCTAGGCTAATGTGTATTGAGCATACTGTCATAGTTCAGTATGATAAGTGCCATGGCAAATAGGTTGACTCAATGCTGGAGGCACACGTGACTTGCTATTCCTAGGGGTTGAAACCAGAGAAGATTTTACACCTGGAAGAAAACTGTGTGTGCTAAGATGTGTATTTTTAAATAGGTGGGAGATATGCAAATAAAACAAGGAATTTAACAGCTATAGTCTCTCCCATCTCATCTTCAAAACACCAGTGGTATTTGCAATCAGGAAGGGGTGAAAAAAATCTAGAGATACCCTGGGAGTGGTAATGGAAGTGAAGAGAAACAGGTTTCAGAGATTAGTCAGTAGGTCATTTTCTTAAATTCTTTATCATGATAGTGTCTCAGGACAAACATTTGTCGTTTTAGGTTTAACACAGGTAAGGGCACGGCTTTACATCATAATAATATATTGTTTCTCATGGGTTTCCCAGGTAGTGAATTCTAATAAAGCAAAGCATATGACCACTGATTTACGAATGAGTTAATGGAAGGAGCGAACAGGAGGAAGGGAGGGCATGACCAAACATCTGAGCAAATAACTGTCCTGTCTAAGTCTCACTCACCCTTTAGTTCCACTGTTCTCAGTGTCAACATCTTTCCCCAGTGACCTGCAATTCCTCAGACAGTCTTGCCCATAATACCCTCACGCCCACTCCCCTGGCCGATAGTAATGGTATTCCCTAGCTCCCTCTTTTTTTGGCATCCTGTCCATCCTTCCACGTTCTTTGCTCATTCATATAATAAATATCATTCAATGTCTCTATGCGTGAATCATTGCATTGAGTTCTGTGACGATAACACAACACTAAGATGAATTTGGTGCAACCCCCGCCATCGACTTTCTAAGGAAATAAGAAAGGAGATGAGACACATGCAGACACAAAAGACCTAGAATTCTAGAAATAGACATCCTAAAAGATGATAAGCACTAAACTGGAGATAAAATACTTTGGAAGGAGTGCTGAGGGCAAAATGTTAACTCCAAAATTGGGATGTGAGAGAGAAAAAACAACTAGGGAAATCTCTGCGCCCTTGGCCTGAAGTGACAGATGGGACTGGGAATGGCCAAAGAGGACGGAGGGCAGTTCCGACAGAGGAAACAATGGGGAGAAAGTGAGAGTGAGGGACCCAAAAGGGGGATCCATCGGCCGTATCTGCCAGTCTCGAATGGCAACCTGGGAACTGGAGCCTTTCTTCATGAGAAAGTGTGAAGCCCTGTGTGTTCCAGAGCTGGACGCTACTATTATCAAGGGTGAAGCTTACAATGATCAAGCAGCTGTACCTGTGGGCAATACTTCCTTCTCTCATCTTGCAGATTTATCTTGCTTTCCTCCTTTTCCTCTGCCTGCCATGCATTTTCCACTCACGGTTCTCCTTCTGGTCTGGGAGGCCAAGGGCGATAAAGATTAGAGAAGAGAGATAAGAAGTGGTTTGAGATAGTCATCTGTCTCTAAATAGCAGCTGAACCTGGAATTCCAAGCTATAAAGTTTTGTTTTTTTGTTTTTTTTTAAAGAAAAAAACAACAACCAGCCAACAGAAAAAGTTTATCTGGAGAAGAACAAAATACAGACCCTTTGAAGACTATGGGATTTGCTGAAGAACAAAATACAGGCCCTTTGAAGACTATAGGATTTGCTGAAGAAACTGAAGATGAAGTCACGGAAGACAGTCACGACCCAGAAGAGTATTATGTAATCTAAATTTTCTTCTCATCATGATCCTTTAATGCATTCATTTCTCGGACTCCGTTTTATTTACTTATCTCTTACATGTTTCTTGCAAAGCCTATTTTGAGTTTTTAAACTGAAGTTTCTTTAGCTGGAGTCTTGGTTCTAGGCCAAGGAATGAATTTTATTTTGAAATATCTGGCAGGATTGTGATGGGGATCAGAGAGCTAAAGTGGGAAAGGAAAGGCTATTTTGGTTTTAAAAGGATAAACTTTTAAGCAAAAGCAGGTGTCTTTTACTCCTAAAAAAAGTGACAGATACAATTTATTCACTTTTACTGATATTTGTGTAAAGAAAGAAGAACGATTTTGGTTTAAAAAACTCCAAGTCCCATTCCAGTCATTCTTCATAAGAGCTGACTTGTAATGAGTATGTATCAAGAAATGTTAGTTGACAATGTACTGTCTCTTTCCATAAGGATATAAAGCCACTTGGAAAAATTGATAAAATACAGAAAGGACACATGGGTCAAAACAGCATGAGAACAAAAGGGCAAAACAAATAAACAAAAATGAAAGGATGAGATTAATACAAAACTGTGTCTGCATGAACATGCATGTACCTCCATTATACATTTACAGAACACGTGTGTTTCCTTGTATGGGGGTATACAGAAGAGCATTCCCAGGTCATTCATCATTGTGAATGATGTTGTTTGTAATGGGGAAAAAAAAAGATTCCATGAACTTTAAATATACTTTTTCTCAGCCACTCAATGAAAAAGATCATGGACGTTTTGTATGTAAAATATACTTTAAATATTAGTTATTGTTGCTTTGGAGAAGAGATTCTCCAGTATTCAAGCCTGGAGAATTCTATGGACAAAGGAGACTGGCAAGCTACAGTCCATGGGATCGCAAAGAGTCGGACATAACTGAGTGACTAACACTATTGTTAGTTTATGCCTTCCTTTCTCTCTCCTTCTGTAGTTCCACTATCAGTAGATGACATCACTACTCACCCTGTCACCAAAGCCAAAACGTAAGGGACATCCTGGATGTCTTCCTTCCTTTCCCAGGTGAATTTCATTCACCATAAGTGTTTATGGTTCTAGCCCCTAAGAGTACATTTCTGAATCATTGTAGCTTTCCATTGCCAATGCCAAGGTTTCATTCATACACTTACCATCTCTCCTCTGAACTAGTAAAAAAAAAAAAAAAAAAAAAAAACTTTAAATTGAATCTTGGCCCCTGGCCACAATCCTCCAATCCATTCTCCATATGAAGCTTGATCTGTCCTTCTATATAACATACATGGTCAGGTCACTCCACAGCCTGAAAGCTATCAATGGCCCTTCAATCTCTACAAAATAAACTGTTTCTTGAAACCTATACATCATATTAAAAAGCAGAGAAATCACTTTGCCAACAAAGATCTGTATAGTCAGAGCTATGGCTTTTCCAGTAGTCATGTATGGATGTGAGAGTTCAACCATAAAGAAGGCTGAGCACCGAAGAATTGATACTTTCAAACTGGATTCTGGAGAAGCTCTTGAGAGCCCCTTGGACAGCAAGGAAATCAAACCAGTCAATCATAAAGAAAAGCAACCCTGAATCTTCATTGGAAGGACTGACTCTGAAGCTGAAGATCCGTTACTTTGGTCACCTGATGGGAGGAGTTGACTCATTGGAAAAGACCCTGATGCTGGGGAAAAAATTGAGGGCAGGGGGAGAAGGGGACAGCAGAGGATGAGATGGTTAGATAGCATCACCAACTCAATGGACATGAGTTTGAGAAACTTCGGGAGATAGTGAAGGACAGGGAAGCCTGGAGTGCTGCAGTTCATGGGTTCACAAAGAGTCAGACACAACTTAGTGACTGAACAACAACAGTTTGAATTTATTTATTTGCTACCTGACATGTATATCATTTTTCTGGTATTCATACCCAGTGTCCTCCTAAAAGACCACCTTCCTTCACATGCTACGTCTTTGAGCTTCTAGGTAGAATCAACTTTTGCAGTTTGTAAATCTCAGGCCTAATCAATCGAAGCATAGCATTCTGCTCACCAAAATAATTCATTCAGGTAACTCAAACAGAACTGTGAGACTTTGCTGGTATGTCTATAAAAGAGACTGTCTTTCTTTCCCGTTGGACTTGACCCTGTGAAACTCTAACAACCATATTACAGTCACAAAGCATAAACCACATGAGAACAGAACCATGCACAGATGGTGTCAGAACACAGAGCTAAAGGGAGAAATTTAAGATCAACTGGATCTTGATCCAGACATGTCTATGATAGCCAGCTCTTCCTGTAGACTTTTCAGTTATGGCTGCCATTAAATGCCATTTCACTTAAGTCTTTTTGAGGAGCATATTCAGTCATTTGAAAAAGATGTTATCCTTCCTAATATTATTGCAAACAGCCTTTAGTTAGGCATTAGACTCTTTGGGATCTAGCCTCTGCCTACTTTTTCCTGAATATTTAAAATTTAGTCACATATTATGTATTAACCAGTAGGCAATTCATATTTTCATCTCAACCAATAGATTATATCATATGATATAAATGTGTTTTTAATTTCCTTTTTTAATGCTTCTTATTGTGATAAAAGTCACATATATAAAAAATACTATCTTAATTACATTTAACTGTACAACTTGGTGGCATCAAGTGCATACACATTTTTGTGCAACTCTCACCATCATCCTTCTCCTGAATTTTTCACCTTCCTAAACTGAAACGCTGTCTCCATTAAGCACTGAGTCCCTGTTCCATCTCCCTATCCTACCTTCTATGCCCCTGACATCTACCAATGTGCCTTCAAATTCTATAAATCTGACTATTCTAGATAACTTCTAGGTGAAAGTGAAAGTCACTCAGTCATGTCCAAGTCTTTGCAACCCCATGGACTGTGCAGTCCATGGAATTCTCCAGGCCAAAATACTAGAGTAGGTAGCTATTCCCTTTTCCAGGGGATCTTCCCAACCCAGGGATCGAACCCAGGTCTCCAGCATTGTAGGCGGATTCTTTACCAGCTGAGCCACCAGGGAAGCCCAGAAATAGTGGAGTGGGTAGTCTATACCTTCTCCAGGGGATCTTCCTGACCCAGGAATCGAACTGGGGTCTCCTGCATTGCAGGTGGATTCTTTACCAGCTGAGCTACCAAGAAAGCCTTATACCTCATATAAGTGAAATCAAACACTATTTTCTGTACTTGCTGTATATTGAAATGCATTTTAAGGTTCACTTAATATATGTCCTACAAACAGATTGTACCTTCTTTTTTTCCCTCTGCTATACAGTGAGTTCTCATTAATTATCTATTTTATACATAGTGGTGTATATATGTCAATCCCAGTTTCCCAATTTATCCCAAATCCTTGCAGGTGGAGAGAGAAATAGTACACCAAAAAATCCCTGTGACCATCCTGTGTGTTAATCAAGACTCTTAAGATTATGACAGACAGAATCCAGTTCAAACTGGCTCAAGAACAGGGGACTCAATGAAGTAACATTAAATTCTCGAGCCATCTCTGGGTTCTCATTCATTGTCACCAGGAGTTCATGTCTCCCCATCTCACAGATGGGTTCTCCCCAGTGTAGATTTCACTTTCAGGCCAACACTTGCCATTGTGACAAAGACAGCCACCAACAGCTCCAGTTTGCATTTTGCAGTCTCAACAGAAGAAGTATATACATTTTCTCTTTCTCTTTCTCAGTGCTCCTAGCAAAAGATCTAAGGACAACAGCCCTTTAGCTCTGGTTGGTCCTGCTTGAGTCATGAGTAAGCCCCTCAATCAATGATTGGCTAAGGAAAGGTGGTGTTCCCATTGGCTAGTCCATGTCACAAGTCCATTCCTAGAGTGAAGGACAGAATCAGCCCCACCTAAGTCATATGGAAAATAAAGGCTCCAGGTCTAGAGAAAGAGAGCTTATTGATGGTCAGTCAAAAGCAACAGGTGACTTCTTTATGCTAATTTCAGATAAAATCAAAACCATATTTATTTTGTCTGCATTATACAAAAATCAATCTGTTGCCAGAATGGCTTTTCTCTGAGATAATCTAATTTTGCCTCTCTGTCCA